TTTTTTTTTTTTTTTTTGCATGCATAACATAACAATATATACATGAAGTTAGTCATAAATAAACATTACTGATTTTTACATAGACAACCTACTATAACATGCAACAATTTGATTAAAAAGATCACAATTATTTATATTTTGATGAAGTAAATCATCAAATCACCCATCAATTTGAACACAGACGAAGTTTAATTTTATAGTGGGAAATGTTACAGTCCCGTTACGGAACTATTCTGTCGGGATTTGTAACTATTAGATCATTAAGTAATCGTCAGGAATAGTTGATCTAACGGTTACAAACCCCAATGGCGGACCTAGGGAGGGGCATGTAGGGGCACATGCCCCTATAGGAAAAAAAAAATAGTGCCTATATATATTGTAAAAAAATATGTTAAAATATTTATTAAGTAAATTGTATAGTATTTTTTCCAAAATGTATATAAATAACTCTTAATTAAATAAAAAAGTGGCAACTCTTCTAATAATAGAAATATCACATTAATTCTTTTATAATTTCATCTTTTAGCATATTTTTAATTTCCACTCAAATTGTGTGGTATCTATTAATAATTAAATTTTAATTTTATGTAATCATCTTCTGTATTTGAGAAGTAAAAAAATGTGATCTTTAGAGCTTTCACAACTTTGATGTTAAGTCAACTTAATTAAAATTTCTAAAATCTTGTTATTGGTTTTTATACATATTGTATTTTAGGCGTTCTTAAAAATATACTTATAAATTAGCTACTAAATTTGTATTTGTCATGATTTTTCTACTAAAATGATTTTTTATTTTTGTGAAGAAATATTATAAATAGAAGTCCACTAAGGCTGACATTGAAAGAAATATCTAGTGCAAAACAATAATGTTGGTACTTGAGAAAGACTTAATTAATAAGATTAGAAATAATGTGATTATGAAAGATACAATATATGAAAACATGTAGAGAATTATTATTATTTATATTTTTATATTTCACTATATAAAAATTACGTCTGTGCCCCTTTAGTTTCTCGAGTATGCGTCCGCCTCTGACAAACCCCGACGGAATAGCGCTGTAACAGGACCGTACAATCTCCCTTTTGTAGTATAGTATTATCAACAAATATACACATTTTTATGTTCACATTACAATTTAGAATATTATGTAAATAGAAACATAATGCATACATGCATTTTGAAATATTTCCCCTCAAACAAGAAAAAGGAAAATTGTTAAATACCACTTATTGATTATTGTGTATATTTATTTAGTTAAGAAAAAAAAAAAAAAAAA